AATAGCGTTAGTCTTAGATTAGCTATAATGCTAAAGAGCTTTAACTTATAGGGTAGAACTATTTAATCTAAGTCTTTAAAAATCTCTAAATCTCTAGAGCGTTAAATAGCTCTTTAATAGGCCTCTAAAAGTGCTTTATTCTAGGTTTATATGAGGGTGTATAGTTCTTATAATAAATAATTAGTGTATACCTAGAGATCGTCTATATTTATATTAGAATATAATCTAAATATGATTGAAGTATAGTCCTAAGTATACCTAAGCTACTACCTACCTTAGATAGTAGGTAGCTAAATATCCTTCCTTGTATATATAATTCTTTTAAAAATGCTACTAAATACCTTAGAAATATTAAATTGCTGTTTGCTAAGCTGTTGAAATATCTATCCCTTTAAGAGCAGTAATATTTCTCTACTGCTAGCTTTATAGAAACTTTAGAATCTAACTAGGATTTATGACTTCTAGTCCTTATAGTTGAGGATTTATTTTAGGGTAGATCTTAATATTAGAGCAACTTAATGTATAGTGTTTATAATGTACTCTTAAAAAGGTTGAAAATATTTCTTTACTATAGCTTAGTGCACTTACGTAATAGTACTGCATTTATTTAGGCTTTATTAGAAACTTAATCTAAATATATTTCTATAAATATATATTAAGTTTAGAATATTTTTTTGCTGAGTTATATCCTTTTTATTTAGATTTATAATATATATAATACTATTTAGATTTATGATTAGGAAAGTAGGAAAAGATTAGTAAAAGAATACTGTTTTAGCAGTAATTAGATATGTTATGTTTCCTAATGAAGAGAATAATGATGGTTCTTCTGCCTCTTTTTAGGTATTCTTTAGGTATAAGTTAGAATATAATTTAAATATATTTATATTATAACTTTTATATACTTTAAATTATATTTAAAGTGTTAACTATATATTATTAGAAAGGTCCTATATTATAAATAAATATATATATATATAGTTAATTTATTTATTCTTACTTATAATAATAGGTTCTTATTATTCTTTATCTTTAAGTATAAACTTAAGAGCTTCCTCTTCTTTAGATAAGGTGTTTTTATTCTAATACTTTAGTTTTAGTATTAGCTTTAGGGTATCTATATTATTAGTCGTTCTAATTATAATATATATATAATTTATACTTAGTACTAAGTACATAATAAGTAATATAATAGCTATTTAGCTATTAATAGAAGATGCTATTATAATTGTCTTTATACGTATATATATAAAGGAAGCTATCTAAAAAGATTACTGCTAGAATGGTTTTAGAACTATATAGGAATATAATTGGATTATAATTTATGCTCTGCCCTAAATTAAGCTATTTATTTATTAATTTATACATTTTCTATAATATAAAAGGTACTTTAAACTCTATTTGTCAGTATACTTGTGAGATCTCTTCTGATGTTAGTGGTATGCTTAAACTAGGCTTAAACCTATGGGGCGTCTGTGGGGGGGGGTAAGATGAGCTTTTGCGGAGGGGTAAGATGAGGTGGACGCTGGGTCCTTCCCTGGCCTAACGCCGTTGTCGAAACAATTTTCCGCCTCGGAGATGATGTGTGGCAGCCGCCCAGTCAGCTTTCGCCATCCCAGATTCCCAACTAGCAATTACTAAATAACGTCGGCGACAAACTTTTCGCTATCCGTACCCGTACCACCCGTCCGTTCTCTCGCCTGCGCCTAACCATGACTTGCCCAGGTACATTTGCCGACTGGCCCTTTGAGTCGTCAGGACCCCAATCAACCGTTCGGCCGATGGTGTCGTCACATCCCAACATGGGCCACAGAGTCCTTGGACCTCCAGGGCCTTCGGCACCGCTTGAGAACCGCACGCGAACAACATCCAGGCCGGGTGGTTCTCCAGCCAAAGGCAGATCTGGCCTGATGGTCTTCTTTTGGTCAGGCTGTTCCTGCAGTAGCGTCGTTTTCTTGCCCTCCATGTTTATCCCTGCCATCCACTGGCTCTCGGGGCTCGACCCGGTCTGAGCCCCCCGGTCACCACGGCACCAACCAGCAAGCCGGAACCCCTCGCGTCCCTCCAACCAGGCAGGTCCCTGCTTGCAGGGCCATCGCCGCCCGGAAAGGCGGACCTCGGAGACACACAGAGAGTAAATGGCTTCTTTTTGGCCTTCTTTGGGTCTGTTACGACTCTGGAATCCACGCGCGCAGAGCTAGTTAGGAGCTGGCGCAGACATCAAAACCCGGGCTCATCCGATCGCCGCGCCGTCTTTACTATGGTAACATGACATCAGCTTCTCGGTACCGGCGTTACGTCCCTGCCGCGTGGTGTGGCTTTTGGCGGCCTCAACTTTCGGGACCGCAGTTGGACTGGCCAGCAGCTCCAGCTCACGTGCGAGCTACTCGTGAACCAACATGCCTCATCCAACCCGCCAGAGACGAAGAAGGCCAAGTTGTGCGCACAGGGTCACCCACTTGATGCGGCAATCATATCGCCACCATCCTTTGGGGTCACACCTGGAGGCCGCCGGATTTGTCATTCCGGTTTCCCACCCATCAATGACGCTGGTTGTTGTTTTCTTCAATGCAATGGATTTCCAGTAGACCAGGTACTATGTATTCAACTGCAGGATGGCGAAATCTGTCTTGCCACTGCGGAAAACGCAGCATGCTCGATCGAGTAGCAGCTTGCGAAAACGCGAGGCCGTCAAGTCTACAACTATCCAATGCAACGGCTGCATACCATACCAGCCCTCGGCCCCAGTCTCATCTTCACATTAAGTCCGCCAGTGGATTCCTAGCAAGTGAGACAAGACATTGGGATGTCGTTGATAGCTTGGCGAGGCTACAGGCTGGCATTACATGATGATGTATCTGCAGGTACATCACGTTGATTACGTGCCTTACGGTTTCTATCTCCGGTCTGACAACTGAGACCGGCAGATCTGAAGGACACTTTTATCGAGCATCACTAAGAATAGTGTCCGGAGACGGGCAACGCTGGCCTGCTGTTGGACACGATCCACTCGACGGCTTAACGGCCTGATCCGCGGGTGGCATTAGCTTCTGCGTGCAGTCCGCCGAATGCGCACGTTAGCGCACAGTTGTCAGCCGGATTACCTAGTTAGACGCAAATATCTTTATCTTTCCTGGCTTCTGCAATTCGTCTCGGCCGTGAATGACAGCTATGGCTGTAAGCAAATCACGGAAGCCATGTTTGGGGTTCTTCAGGTGTGGTTCCACTTCGTCCTTTTGTCCTTCTGGCATGGATAGCGGACGGTTGGCTTCACGGGCGGAGACGCCACGATGAATCCGTCGCTGGGCGCTGAACAAAAGGCTGCTGGTGTTCCAGGAACCAGGGCGGTAGTGGAGGATGGGTGGCGGCGGCGGCGTGATCGGCACCTTGCTGTATCGTGTTAGCTCGGTGACGAACAATCTAGCAACGAGGATCTCCAGATAGGCTTGGGCCCCCGTTGGGCACATGTAGCGGTGGCTTGCGCAAGGTGTTTTCACCTGAGACCTGGAGCAGCTAGAAAGGACGTGGGCGAGCAGACGCATCGGGCAGCGGGTAAAGAGACTTCGCAAGTGTTCTTTCTGACAGGCCGCCATCGAAACAAGCATCTGTTTTTGGGTGCTTTCTCAGGTGGAAAGGCGGCAAGAGTGACGCGGGAAGGAAACACCGAGGTTGAGCTGTAGCCATGGCTATGAGCAGGCCAGCAACAAAGCGTCAAGTTGTCGAGAGGCCTGAGGAGCTCGCTAGCAGGCCTCTGGCATGCCCGATATCAGCAGGCGAAAGCCGTCAGCAAATGTTGGTGACATCGCAAAGGCTAGCTAGCAAATCAAGGGCTGGACGGTCTTCCCGGAGACTGAACCTATTGGATGTTTCGTCGACTTCGAAGGGTGCGCCTCTGTCGTTCACGGGGGTCAAACTGAAGTCAGGTGGTATGCTGCGAAATCGAGCTGGCTTTATGAGTCAACGTTGGTCACGGCTAGACGCCATGGGATGAGCAACAGGGTTGGACGTTGCTGTCATAAGCTACATATCATGGAGAATTACCAAGATGATATGAGACGGCAGTGGGCATGAAGTGCTTACGCCGTAAAGGCGTTCAGATGAATTGCTTACCGTAATCGTTGCTCTTGTTTTCCAACCCTACCCACCGTTTTGGAAACGCTGGGATGGAGTGCCTGAGGCATGCACCAGGCACACTGTGCCCGGTTAGCAAAGTGCTAAGGTAACTTACCTTCAGGTGCTGCAACGGGTGGAAGCTCCCCACTGTGGCCTGGCTCTTCCTGCTTCTGGACCGCAGAGGCGGGGGGAGATGGACTGATCCAGTGTCAGCTGCCGTACAGAACCGGAAACTTCAAGAAACTGCTGATCAGCAGGGCATTCTATAACCGAGCATGCCACCGCACTCGTCTCTACACCTCAAGGAGGTATGTTATTCCATTTGATGCCTCTCAAGTGCTCTTACTTATATTCTCTGACTCGTTAGACTCCAACATCGATTTCCTCCGAGCAGGCATTGGACCGCCTGTTAGCATATACTTACCGCACAGTGAGCAGGCACCTACCTGCCTGCCTACCTACCTACCTACCTACCTACCTACCTACCTACCTAGTAAGGTACCCTGCCACCTGCCATTGGCTCAATTAGGATAGCTCCCTACCTATCCGTACCTACCTACGGCACCTGAGGTACCTACGGGAGCATTACCTCATACTCCAGTATCGCCGCCCACCTCTGACGCAGCCTCAACCCCACCTTTCCCGCCTGTTGTTACTGCAGCTGCGATCATCTTGCCGACCATCTCTCGATTTTCCATTGGATCCTTCTATTTCGCCTTTTAGCTGGCTTTACACCTTTGCAGCACAGAGTACAATCAAGGGCCAACCTCCTCCCATCGCCCCGAGGGTCTCCAGAGCTCCTACAAAACGCTGTCATCAATGCCATGTCCCCAGACCTGAACTCTCTTCCACCTTCATCGCCCCCATCTCTCCCCATTCGATCCAGAATGTCTTCATCCAACGGCGATTCTCCAATGCCACATTCCGTACCGGCCTCTGCTGGCGCCCCAGCGCGCGGCGAGTCTCCCACTGGCTCCCCGCGTCGCCTGTCTACCTCGTTGCAGGCTGCCGCCACCATGAACGCGGGTCTTCAACACGAACCATCCAGACGTAAGTTGGCTCGCTCCTCAGCATGGCCTTTTGTAACTCACCTGACATGGCATCTCAGGCTCATCGAGCGGCTCGCTCTCGCGAAACCGACAATCTCCTGGCGCCGGCCGCCGACGATCGACTGTTTTGATGAATCTGCAACTGAACGATCCTTCAGTTCCCGGTCCTGGTGAAATGGTCGCGGATAGCCAGCATACCCAACATAACAGCGGTGTCAACACTGCCAGCCCTCAGCCTATGGCAAGCTCGCCTCTCATGGTAGCCGGCGGTGATCCCCATCACAACCGTGCTCCTAGCTTGGGAGAGCTCCATCAGGAGCTTGAGGCAGAACAAGAAGCCCAAGTCGTAAGTGTCCTTCTTTCAAGCCCCCTCCCAGTTGGATCTTCTGTTTCAGGGGCTGCACCAAGAAGCTAATGATAAGGCCATTACAGAACCGGCTGCTTCACATGATTCGCCAACAGCAACTCCAACTCCAGCAACTCCAAGCCGCTCAAGGACAAGGCTCTTCCGCCATCGAAGACTCTGCAATTGCCTCCGAGAGATCCAATCAGGGCACTCCTATCTCTCAGCCAGCCGCTGCCATACCTCCTCCGGGAGTCGCGCCTCTGCCCTCTTCCGGCTCCTTCTCTCGTTCCCCTGGAGTACCTCACCACCCTCGGAGCTCTTTCGACATGGCGAGAGCGGATATCCAGCGTCGGTCTAGAACCCCGAGTCGCGGCGCCTCCCCCAGATTGCGATCAACCTCTATGAGCGGCGACAGTGGCGATCATTTTCTTCTCGGGGGCCGCGACGAGAGCGCATTCTACCAAGCAGAAACTCAGATGCTGGTTAGAGAGAATCAGATGCTGCGTCATCGCATTCGTGACCTAGGCTAGCCTGCCCATGTGCGCGGTTCGGTTGTGGGATTCATGCTAACAGGTGTTTAGAGAAACAATTGACGGACTTGGTCCCTGGCATCACAGCTCACGGTAACCCTAGCGAGCCCGCCCATTCATCTCATCTCACGAGAGCTACTTCAGCGGGCGAAGAGGATCAAACCACTGCACGAACCACCCCGTCCATCGTCGCTATTCCTTCTGCGGTCGAGGCGACCAAAGAGACGTCTTAGCTAAGCTATGGCGTGCAACATGATGTTCACGAGGGGAGCGCGCCTTGTATAGGTTATGCATAGGTTATGTTTCCGCGCACTCAAATGGCTTTCAAATCTGGTGTTTGGTGTCACAAATAGCCCGATATTCTTTTCTCATGAATGCGACGACATGGCAACGGCGTTAAGGAAGTACGAACCAGGGTACAGGTCGTCACCCATATTTTTTAGGCAGGCAGCTTCAACTCAACGGAAACACGGCCTAGCAACCATAATTACACATTCACGTCTTCTCATGTTATCCCGATGACAATAAAGCTCTAGGCTGTCATCTTGCGCGTGATATTATGAGGTACGTCCTGTGGTGATTACGCGAGAAGGCTGGATTTGGCCGGCCACAGAACAACCATGTTAGCACATCCAACCACTTGGTATGACTACTTGAGACTTGAGTGTGGTTCAATGGATGGAGTCGTTCATGTGCTAGTCAATGGGAGCATGTGTATTGTTGCGTCTCGGGGTTTCTGACATCTTGTTTTCGCGAGAGAGTAGCGGTCGGAATCCTTGGGTACTCTCTATTGGTCCATCGTAGGTGTGTTCAGCACAATGCGCAAGATGCTTGGGGCAGAAGCTCAGTAAATGTGATTGATCAGCATAAAGAGATGCACGCTCACGGAGACTGCGTCGCCTTGTAGCGTGTCGTAAAAACACGGTCGCACTAGGTGTTCAGCGCTTTCAAGAGCGACAGTACTGCGTAGAGCAGCCAGATTTACCCGATGAATGTAGGATGGCCTCTTCCCATTGCAAAAGGTGGGAAGCTCCCAATGCAGGAGATCATCAAGCACCATAGAGTGTCCACGAGCTGGTAAACCATAGTTGGGTTTTGTGCCCACCAATCTCATAGATGATTCGTCGCTCTGATGGCACATCACTCGTTCGAAAGGTCATTTCTTTCAGTAGAAGGACCTCAGTCAAATACACATTGAATTCAGTGCAGTTTCCCTCGGGGAACTACAGCTTGTCCGCGGCCAGCGACTGGTTCTCAGCGTCTTCCTTCTCTCACAGTGCAGCAGATTAGGAGTCCTGTGGCCTTGAACTCTGATCAGCGCTGTATAATTTGTTCTGCCTACTCTCCCCCGGTCTTCATTAGAGTAGGCCCACGGGTGGTGTCGTCGTCGTTGATTGAAGCCAACGAGTTAATCTGGTACACAGCTGGTTGAGACACCGGGAGCCTATTGGGTGCCCCCTGCTAACACTTGAAGCGGACCCGGCGCCCCGGAAACACCCCGGCAGGTCCCCGGTGGCGTCATCGGCACTTTTAAACATCTCTACCCACTTCGAGAGCTCAGGCGTTCCAAGCTCTGCGAAAGAACCACCTCGAGTCGCCATTCTTAAACATGTTGCTGAGGCCGTTGTGTGCGAGATCCTACAATGGCTTGGGCCGGCGGACCCGTCGAGGCTTCTCATCCACGGCTTCGGTGAGAGCCGACTTCACCCACATTGTGAGTTTGAACTGTCACCGTAACTCCCGGATCCGCGTCGGAGGCCGCTCCGTTATGCCGGCGCACGCCATAACACGTAGAATTTTGCCACGCACGACGGCCCTTGATCGCCGAGTTAAACAAAAACGAGAAGACATGGGCTAACTCAGATGACAAAACAGGTCGTAGGGGGTGGCGCGGTAGGTCTCGCAACAGCTCGCGCACTCGCCCAACGCCCGGGAACATCCACAGTTGTCCTCGAGCGCCACGGCGCTGTCGGCACAGAAACGTCCTCACGCAACAGCGAAGTTATCCACGCCGGTCTCTACTATGGCGCCGGTACCCTCAAGACGGAGCTCTGTATCCGCGGCAAGGAGCTCCTCTACGCCTTCTGCCGCGAGCGTGGCGTCGCACACGCCAACACCGGCAAGTGGATCGTCGCGCAAACGCCCGCGCAGCGCGAGGCTCTGCAGCGCGTGCATGACTTTTGCAGAAACGAGATCAACGTGCCCATTCGATGGGTCGGCGAGGAAGAGGCGCGCCGCCTGGAGCCGGGTGTGCGCGGCGAAGCCGGCATTCTCGACAGCCCAACGACGGGTATTGTCGATTCGCACGGCTTGATGGTCGGCCTGATGGGTCTGTTTGAGGATGCTGGCGGCGAAGTTGTGTTGACCTCGGCCGTGACGGGTGTGACGCCGCTGGGTGAGAAGGGCAGTCAGGGGTGGGAGGTGCGTGTTCGGGACTCGACCACGGGGGAGGAAAGCTTAGTGACGGCCGAAGTGCTGGTGAACGCGGCAGGTCTCGGATCCGTCGACCTTCACAACATGATTGTGCCTCTCGAGAGAAGGCGGGCTTTGTTCTATGCCAAGGGAAATTACTTCTCGTACTCCAGCTCGAAGCCAAAGGTCGGCAGGCTAATCTATCCGGCGCCCGAGCCGGGTGCCGGTGGTTTGGGCACGCATTTGACACTGGATCTCGCTGGGAGGGTGCGCTTTGGACCCGATGTGGAATGGGTAGACTCACCCAATGAACTGGCGGTCAACGTTTCACGGTTGCCCCTGGCCATTAAAGCCATCAAGAAGTACCTGCCGGAACTCGACGAAAGTTGTCTCGAGCCAGACTACGCCGGCATTCGACCCAAGCTAGGACAGTTGGGCGCTGTTGCACAAGGCACAGGTTTCCACGACTTCGTCGTAAGAAAGGAAGAAGGATATGAAGGCTGGGTGAACCTGCTCGGCATAGAATCTCCCGGCTTAACAAGTTGCTTGGCCATCGCGGAGCGGGTGGATAAGATTCTGTACGAATAAATTCTTTTGCCATTCATTCTGTGTTTGACCCAGTCTCGACCGAGATCAGAACAGTATGCCCCTAGATGCATATTATACATACAAGATACTCAGTGACGCTGGCAGACATGCATCAAAACACTCCTCCCAAAGTTGTAGTACTAACCAGATACCGTATGACGCGACATACATCAAAACGAAATCGTTTCTGCTGTCAGCTCTCCTTCGCAGCTTCCATTTCAACTCCTCGAACGCCTATTCCGTGAAAAGAATCGATGGCAAAGGCTCTTATTGCCGCGATTTGCAACAGTACCCGTAACCGTAACGCCTATGGAAAAGAGGGATGATTACAGTGACCATGCTTATCGCAAAGTTAAGTTCGGGCGGTATTTCCGTCCTTGTACATCAACGTGAAACTCGTAGATACCGTTTTCTGCGCCGACGTACCTAGACTCGTCGTCAGCACACGCCTGATTGATGCGCCAAAGGTGGCCTTACAAAATGCGGCCGTCCTCGCTCCACGAGATCCCAGCCGTGTTGTCGGGCTCTGGAGGAGCCTCATGAACACCATGCTCCAGCACGACACGTCGCCGAGCATTGCGCTCCTCTAGCTCGCGGATTGCAACTGAGTTGAGCAGTGGCAAAATTGAAGACCGATCTCTGTCACGATCTCTGGTGGCGGTGCGCAGGTCTTGAATATTACTTTCGAAAGACAGGCTGTACACAGCTTCCAAATCGGCCCATCCGCTACCGGAAGGCGTCAAGCTACGCAAGTCGTTGGCGGTTCGCTGGGCTGCAGCAGAGGAGTCACCGGGTCGAATGCTCGCAGATCGCCTCGGAGGATGGGCATTCATCATACCCAGCATGCGCTCTCGGTCAGGGCTCGACTGTAAAATAAGCCGATGGGCATTGCGTATCCGCTCTTGGGCCCGTTCTCGCGAGTCTCGGATATTACCTAAGAGATCCCCGATGGCGCGAGATACACTGCCAGGCTGGAAGTCGCTGCGCTCCCCTGTTGTACGGGTCGCATCACCTTGCTCTACCATGCTGCGAGACACACTACTGCTTCGCGCGCGCGTCGTAGCTACTATGATGTTAGAGTCGTGGTCAACCAAGCGGGGAGTAGCAGCGCCCCGATAAGAGGGTAAGCTGTTGAAGGGTTGACAGACTTGCCGCCTGCTCCGCCATACGGGCTGCTATCCGGTCTCTCTGCTCTCTTCTCCGACGTTCGTCTTGCAGAGCTTCAAGCACCCGCGTCTCATCGGGTGTCAAGGCCAAATGATGCCTCTCCGGACCTTCGGATCCTCGTCGTCGGCGACTTTCTCCAATACCGAGCGGGGCGGCAAAGGGGGACGGCGAAGCGGTTTCCCGCTCGCCACGACCTTCCAAAAGACGAGGATCAATAGTCGCGCGGTCAAGCACGGTAACGTGCTCGTAGTCGCCCTCCGCACTGATATCCAGTACCTGACGCTGTACAAACCCAGATCTCAAGTCAGCTACGCCTACATGACCGCGATCTTCTGTCCACGCCAAGAGATCGTAAGGACCGGGGCAGAAAGCCATGTCACGGACAGCTCCAGAGCCTGCCATTGGTCTCGATGAGGTGAAAGATGTCAGCAGAGGATCGGTAACATCTGGATCTGTCAGCCCGGCAACATCATATATAGAGATGGTGCCGTATTGAGTGCCCACTGCCAGATATGCCCCCGTGTTCGAAAAACATGCAGCGAAGCTACCCCTGCTGTCGGAGCCATCATCTCTTCGTTGACTCTTCAGCAAGATCTTGCCACACAGTTCCCAACGATGCTCGGCCTTGTCGTCCGCCCTGAAAGGACCATTTTCGTCGATGGTCGTCTCAACACGGTGGTGAATATACAAGAACGGATCGTCCAGGATGGCGACGAGAAGCCGACCGTCGGGAGATATTATGGCACGATTGACGTAGTCCGGGTAGGTCACTACATCCAGTGGCTCAACTTTGTCCTGACCCTCGAAGTCGCGCAAGCTAACCAACACCACAGTCTTGTCGTTATTTGCCAAGACAGCAGCGGGCTCGGTGTAGGCGCCATGATGCATAGGACCGGCGATAGGCGGGAACCACATAGTTATGCAATTGACGCGGTCACGCGCCAGCTTTTGACTCTTGGCTGTGTAGCTTTTATTCAGTCGACTGCTCATGTTCAACCGTCGTGACTGCGCAACGAGAGAAAAGACGGTATCTTCGGGGCGCGGTGAATCTGAGTCGAATCCGAGGGGTAGTCGAGCGTCGGGTTCCAGGTTCAGCTGGAGGTCAAGGTCGTTGCCGTCATCGGCGGTGCTTTCGAGCTGAATCGCCGTAAACTCGCCAGTCTCTCCCCCACAGCATATCCATCCGCTCTCGGCAACTAGGCATCGTGGCGAAAACGAAAGGAACTTGACAGTTTCGCATTCCTTGGTGGTGGTGTTGAGACGCTGGACATGGTTGCTTCCAGAGCCTCCGGGGAAATATATTATGTTTTGCTTCTCGGCGCTGATAAGAGATCGTAGTTGCCAATGTCTGAAGATGAGAAGATCTGTCAGTATAGCCCGCATGTGACAGGGCGCATTGGAAAAGGTCGAGTATGACTGGGAGGACGCACTGGGATCGGACTGGAATGCGATAGTGCCTTCGCGGCTTCTTGGAGATCAGGTTGCTGGTCGGATAATATCTGCATTGGTGAGGAGTGAGTATGACGATGTGCATTGAAGAAGGGTGGATGATGTCGTACGAGACGCCATCTTTCACAGCCATGATGGCCTATGGCTATGGGTCGGCCGGAGGAAGGGTCAGTAGGCGTGCATGTAGATGCGGAGGCACGCGGTATGGGACGGCGAGGGTGGTGTGTCGAAGAGAAGTTCGATTCTACGGGAGCACAAGGAGAAGGCGAAGATGGGGAAGGCAGTAGGCAAAGCTACCTAGCTAAGCGGACATTGAATGGTTGCAGGGTCGGATGTTTGGAGATGATGTGTGAGATGCAGATTGCGCGAGCGAGAGGCAACTTTCCGCATGACGTCCAGGTCCGTGTATGGCAGGAGGGGCCTGGCCTCGGTGACCTGTCTGATTTGATTACAGCTGGTTGGCTGGCGGTGTTGCGCTCTCGCTTTCGACAAGAGCTGCCTTGTGCACTCGATGTCCCGGGCGTGGTGCCTTGCTGAAGGGTGGGTACGCCGGCCCCACGGGCGGGGAGTACACTGCCTATCACTGGCCTCAGGTCCTGAACCACCTTACCTAAGGCAGGTAAGGTAGGTGCCGATGGGACTGAGTGTGATTGGGAGCTTGGGCTGCCACCCGCTGCAACCAAACACATAGCCTGCTGAGGCATGGATCAAAAGCGATGTACACTATCCAACATAGTACACGCTGGAGGCATACAGTCGGAGCTCCGTCTGCTACGCCTGGGAGGGACCGGGGAGGCTTAGTTAAGGGCCTCATCCTGACGTGCGAAGTTGGAACTCCCATCCAATCAACACCATCATCGATCTGAGTTCCGCAACAGACAGGTACGGTAACAGCGTGCGCTATACTTCTTTGCACCTCTGCAATCGACATTTCCGATGGCACCATGTTGCCGGTAGATACATAATACCGACATGAAGTAAAAGCTATTGTACTGCACAAGCGCAGCATGCGCCTCCACAGCTTCTCAGTTCTCCGTCCAATGTTATGATTCTAAACCCTGTCGCCGATGGATCGTGGCCGAAGGCCCTTGTCAATGGTCATCGATACCTGGCTCCATCATCGAATCCGGATGAATACCCGTCGCAGTCAAGGTCTCAGCAACCACCTGGCTGCCAATACGTATGTAAATTCAAAGGGAACTCGCGGACCATAAGCATGACGAGATAGATCCAATAATGCCAATAAGGAGCCAGGGGTGCTGGAAATGAATTGTCTGCGGCGCTCACGTGAAGATTGGAAGCACTACAAGAACCCAATTGCATCGTCGCATACCTGTTCCACGTCAACAGGAGCGCCACCCGTTGGCCTCACGAGCATTGAAAGTTTCTAGTTCAGCTGGTCTGGCTCCGTACCCGGCGTTTAGTGGGAAAGCCCATGGCCTGCAATTGCCGGCTCTTCCCGTCTCTGGGAGGCTCCAGCATGTTCCTGCCATTCGTTCGTCACGTGCAGTAGTACCTCTATCGACCTAGGTACTCAGCCCCTCATTGCTCAGTGTACGTAACGCGGTAACAGGTGAGGCGACACCTCCTAGTGCTAGCACAAAGACTGCCACGGATTTTATTATACACATTTTTTTTTCTCTCTTCTTCTATTATAACTAGAAGTAAGGTAGAATGTGAGTATCGACCTTGCACTAGGTACTGCGGCACCTACCCAAGGTGCCCTAGTACATTATCTTAATGTTCCAGTGTAAGGCAAGGTACCTACCTTAAGGTACGGAGCGGGGAACTTTACAGCCGGAATAACCCAAGCCGATCTGCCGGCCGTGCGGGATTCGGTCGGCTTCTACGACCGGGGGCAGGCATCATTTTCGGGACAAAAAATTTCGACCCTCCCGCCATCATCATTTTCTCGCACCTCACTACTCCTCCCCATCCCTCCACCAACCCACCCATCATCTTGTACTCTATAATTACCGCTCGTCCATTCCTTTTGGCGCGCAGTTCATTTCGTCTCCCTTCACCTCCCTTTATACCCACACACAGCTAGGCAAGATGATGTCTTCACGCTTCTCCAGAGCTGTAAGTCCTCTCTCCCCGCGCATCGCTGCAGCGCCCAAATCAGAGTTTGCATTTCTAACCCACGACAGCTTCCCAGAGCTACCAGCTCAGTAGCCCGCTCGGCAGGCTTTGCCCGCCAGCCCTTTGCTTCCAAGTTTGCTCGCTATGAGTCTACCGCTTCTGAGGGCAAGGTCCAGGGCTCCGTCATCGGTATCGATCTCGGTACCACCAACTCTGCCGTCGCTATTATGGAGGGCAAGGTCCCCAAGATCATCGAGAACTCTGAGGGTAGGCCATTGTCCCAACTGAGCCAGCTGGAATAT